ATGGGGAGGAAGGCAGCAAATCACACTGCCACGTGTGTACCTATGCAACAATCTTACATGTTCTTCACATGTACCCCAAAACCTAAAATGCAATAAAATAAATAAATGGAAGAAGAAAAAAAAAAAAGAAATATCAAGTTATAAAATACCTCCAGGTTGGACCCAGTGGCTCACACCTGTTGCAGACTAGCCTGGGTAACATAGCAAGATATCATCTCTGCTAAAAATTAAAAAAAAAAAATTAGCTGGGCATGGTGGCATGCACCTGTCATCCCAGCTACTGGGAAGACTGATGTGGGGTGGGAGAATTGCTTGAGCCTGGGAAGTTGAGGCTGCAGTGAGCTGTTATTGTGCCATTGCACTCCAGCCTGGGTGACAAAGTGAGACCCTGTCTCAAAAATAATAATAATAACAAAATGAAAGATACAATAAGATACCTCCAAATTGAGCTGTAACTTCAACCAAAATTTACCTTTTAAACTGTTTGAATTTTTTCTGACTACAATACAAGCTATAAGTAATTAAATTCTGATGTATTCAAACAAAGGAACTACACAGCAAGGATAATAAACCAACTATTGCAGCACACAGCAAGAATTTTTTTTAAAAAGCCAGACACAAGCCAAATGTGGTGGCACGTGCCTATGGTTCCAGCTATACAGAAGCTGAAGCAGGAGAGTCAATTGAGCCCAGGAGTTCAAGTCCAGCCTCGGCAACACAGCAGGACCCTGTCTCTGAAAAAAATGCCAGATATAAAAGAGAGTATAGCATATGGTTCAACTGGTATAAAACTCAAAAACAGGCAAAAGTAACCTATGGTAGAAGTCAGGATAGTGGTTACCTTACAAAGAAGAGTAATGATTGAAAGGGGGTGGACGGGATTCTAGGGAGCTCATAACCTTGTATTTCTTGGTTATGGTGCTGGTTATATGCATGAATTAGTTTGAAAATTATTTAAGCTGTATATTTACGATGTGTGCATATTTTGTATGTCATAGATTTCCATAAAAAGTTCACCTATGGCCAGGTATGGTGGCTCATGTTTGTAATCCCAGCACTTTGGGAGGCTAAGGCTGGGCAGGTCACCAGGAAAGAAGTTTGAGACCAGTCTGTCCAACAAAGTGAAATCCCCTCTCTGCTAAAAATACAAAAATTAGCTGGGCAGGGTGGTGTACATCTGTAATCCCAGCTACTTGGGAGGCTGAGGCAGGAGAGTCGCTTGAGCCTGGGAGGCACAGGTTGCAGTGAGCCAAGATCACACTACTGCACCCCAGCCTGGGTAACAGAGCAAGACTCTGTCTCAAAAAAAAAAAAAATTCACCTCATTATATTCAGCTCATTATAAATAATTCAGAATCTAAATAAAAAGAGAAAGCAGTCCACAGCAATAAATATTATAAACTTTAAATATATTTATTTTTCTTATATATTTTATATACTTTGAATCATATTGCATATATATATTCTGAGCAATTTTGTGTGTCATTTATAATTTTAAAAATATTTTTAAATGCCTGCATAATATTCCATTTTATGGATGTCCAGAGGTTTTGCTACCCGTTTTCCACTGTGGGACATTTATATGGCTTCTAATTTTTCACTATTTTGGTATAATGATGTGTATACATTCAAAGGCAAACATTTCTTTACACCTCTGAATGGTTCCTTATAATGGACATCTAGAAGAATCACTAGGTTAAAGTCTATGAATATTTGGGGGACTCTTGATAGGTGAGGTACTGCCAAAAAGTCCAAAAGGGTTGTACTAATTTACATTTCAAGATAACTGCAATGCAATGGTTTTTCTCCATTATCACTAGAGTAAATTATCTTTTACCAACTGTTAATTTGATAGACAAAAGTTTAAGGCTTGTATCTCATTTAAGTTTGCATTTTCTATCCACTAGTATTTCTTGTTCTGTGAATTGTTCTGCTCACTGCCCAATTAGGGTCTCAATGTTTCCTGTCTGATTTGTATGAGGTCTTGCTCTCTTAAGGATAATACCCTTGAAAGTGTTTAATTGCAACAAACACCCTTCTCAGGTGGAGGTGTGATTTAGAAGAGTGGCTTTTTTTGAGCTAGGGAGGGGTTTCTTTATTTGTTTATTACGCCAAATTCATTAACATTTTTGTGACTTCTTCAGCTGCTTTTACACTTAGTCTTTCACTAGGATTAGAGAAAACAATCAACTATATTTTCTTCTAGTTTCTTCCATACTTCCACTTATTAGGTCTTCAACTCTTTAATCCATCTCAAAATTATTTAAGTGTATGATGTGAGATGAAATGAAATGGGCTTTCCCCCCAACAGTTAAGCATTTTTCCCAGCATGTTATTTCCTTTCCATCATTCCTGTATTAATGTACTCTAGTATGTTAACACTAAATCCTTTGTTTTGTTTGTGAGTTTCTATCACATTAAGTCTGGCTCCCTATTTTATAACTGTATTTTAATAACATAATATTTTAATAACTATATCTTTAAAATGTTTTAGTGTTTGATATGGTAAATCACCACCTGTCCCTTAAACAGTTTTTTCCTAAGATTTTTTTCACACCTATACTAGACTGTTTTTTCACCTCCAAGAATAATTTGTGTCTCTCCACTTCCTCAAGCCTTATTTTATGATCCTCAGTATTTGCGGTCCTTTCATAGAGGTTCTGCTATTTTTATTTATTTATTCCTCAGAGTGTTTAAATATATTTCATAGCCATTATCAATTGGGTCTTTTTCCTATATGTTTTCTAACTACTTAATGCGACTATATGAAAAAACTATTTGTTCTTATAATTTAATAAAACTAACTAAACCGACTCAAGAAGAAATAAAAAATCTTAATGGACCTATAATGAGAGGTTGAAGCAGTAATCACAAACTTTCCAGTAAAGAAAAGCCCAGGACCAGATGGCTTCCCCACTGATTTCTACCAAACATTTAAAGAATTAACACTGGCTGGGTGCGGTGGCTCATGCCTGTAATCCTAGCACTGTGGGAGGCTGAGGCAGACAGATTGCTTGAAGTCAGGAGTTCGAGACCAGGTTGGGCAACATGGCAAAACCCTGTCTCTACTAAAAATACAAAAATTAGCTGGGCATGGTGGTGTGCGCCTGTAGTCCCAGCTACGTGGGAGGCTGAGGCAAAAGAATCTCTTGAACTTGGTAAGTGAAGGTTACAGTAAGCAGAGATGCCACAACTGCACTCTAGCCTGGGCAACAAAGCAAGACCCTGTCACCCTAACACCCCTCCAAAAAATATGACTTAACACCAATCCTTCTCAAACTCTTCCAACAAATTAGATAAAAGAACACTTCTTAACATTCTGTCTCCCACAGAACAAAGGAGACATGGCAAAGCTTAAGCAAAGGGAAAATGCAAGCAAAAGTAAACCTTGTGGTATTAGCACGAAGCTAAGCCTTCTGGTAATAACTAATTGCTGTAAAGTTTACAGTAATATTTAAGCAATTTACTGGAAACGGGGACCAGAGCGCAAAATTTTGCCAGAAAGGAAATTTAACAAAATTACCGTATGACATTTGGAGTGGATGGTGATGGTCACCACTGGCACCTGGAAAATTTGGTTGTATGGCTGTGACATCAGTGGAATAATCTGCTGTGTCATTGGTGGAATTATCTGCTCTTTCAGAATCTTCCACTGTCTCAGTACTGCGATCATCATTGTTATCATCACTGTCGTCAACAGTTACAATAATAAAATCTAAAAATAAGCAAAGAGAAAGATTAGATTCAATACCACATTAAATAAACAGTTTCTTGAGGATGCCACCTTATAAAGTTATAGATTGTTTAAAAAACATATTTTAGCTGAAAATTTGTATATTTTTATATCTGTAATTATTACAAGTTAGCTAATGAACCAATAGTAGGAATTTTTGAAGTATGTACATATGTATGTATACATACACACACACAGAGTACTATCTCTAGTACTTCCAATTTTGTAGAGCAATAAATTTCTTCTCATTTGATAAATGTGGCCAGCTGGCCCATGCCACAGTGTTCAATGATATGCTTTTCACTTAAATGATGCAACTGGTGTTAAGTAGACACACTTGTAGTGACCATGAAGTTCTAAACTTTTCTCTAAAAACTAATATTAATGTTTATGATGACTGATAATGCAGAAATAAAATATAAAAGTAAATGTCATTATGAAATGAATTCAAACTGAATCTCACAAAACGTGAAATAAGTAACCACAAATAAGCCAGATATGAAATATCAACTAGGTAAACCATTCTAATGAATATGAAAACACATTATGCAAAATGTCTAAGATCAAAATGAGCTTTATTGGATTCCCCCAAGCAAGATGGCTGAACAGGAACAGCTCCAGTACACAGCTCCCAGCAAGATCCACGCAGAAGGTGGGTGACTGCCACATTTCCAACTGAGTGGCCCCTGGAATGCCAGTGGGCAGAACTGTTCATTCCCCTGGAAAGAGGGCTGAAGCCAGGGAGCCAAGTGGTATGGCTCGGCAGTTCCCACCCCCACAGAGACCAGCAAGCTAAGATCCACTGGCTTGAAATTCTCGCAGCCAACACAGCAGTCTGAGCTCGAACTGGGAGGTTACAGCTTGGTGAAGGAAGGGGTTTCTGCCATTGCTGAGGCTCAAGAGGGCAGTTTCAACCCTACAGTGTAAGCAAAGCTGTGGGGAAGTTCAAACTGGGACAAGCTCAACACAGCTCAGCAATTGCAGGCAGTCTGTCTCACTAGATGTCCTCAATGGAAAGGGCATCTCTGAAAAAAAGGCAGCAGCCCATCAGGGATTTATAAATAAAGCCCCCACCTTCCTGAGACAGAGCACCTGGGAAAAGGGGTGGTAGTGGGTACAGCTTCAGCAGACCTAAACGTCCCTGCCTGGCAGCTCTGAAAGAGCAGCGGATTTCCCAACACAGCATTTGAATTCTGATAAGGGATAGGCTGCCTCCTCAAGTGGCTCCCTGATCCCCATGTATCCTGACTGGGAGACACCTCCCAGTAGGGGCTGACAGACACCTCATACAGGAGAGCTCTGGCTGGCATCTGGCAAGTACCCCTCTGGGACAAAGCTACCAGAGGAAGGAACAGGCAGCAATCTTTGCTGTTCTGCAGCCTCCACTGGTAACTCCCAGACAAGCAGGGTCTGGAGTGGACCTCCAGCAAACTCCAGCAGACCTGCAGCAGAGGGACCTGACTGTTAGAAGGAAAACTAACAAACAAAAATAAATAGTTTCAACATCAACAAAAAGTACGTCCACTCAGAGACCCCCATCTAAAGGTCACCAACTTCAAAGACCAAAGGTAGATAAATCCACAAAGATGGGAAGAAACCAGTGCAAAAAGGCTGGAAACTCCAAAAAACCAGAACGCCTCTTCTCCTTTAAGGGATCACAGCTCCTCGCCAACAAGGGAACGAAACTGGATGGAGAATCAGTTTGATGAATTGACAGAAATAGGCTTCCAAAGGTGCATAATAACAAACTCCTCCAAGCTAAAGAAGCAGGTTCTAATCCAATGCAAAGAAGCTAAGAACCTTGAAAAAAGGTTAGACAAAATGCTAACTAGACTAACCAGTTTAGAGAAGAACATAAGCAACCTGATGGAGCTGAAAAACATAGCACAAGAACTTCCTGAAGCATACACAAGTTTCAATAGCTAATCGATCAAGTGGAAGAAAGGATATCAGAGATTGAAGATCAACTCAATGAAATAAAGTGAGAAGACAAGATTAGAGAAAAAAGAGTGAAAAGAAATGAACAAAGCCTCCAAGAAACTTGGGATTACATGAAAAGACCAAACCTGCATTTGAGCAGTGTACCTGAAAGTGAAGGGGAGAATGAAACCAAGTTGGAAAACACTCTTCAGGATATTATCCAGGATAACTTCCCCAACCTAGCAAGGCAGATCAACATTCAAATTCGGGAAATACAGAGAACACCACAAAGACACTCCTCAAGAAGAGCAACCCCAAGACACATAATCATCAGATTCACCAAGGCTGAAATGAAGGAAAACATGCTAAGGGCGCCCAGAAAGAAAGTTCGCGTTACCCACAAAGGGAAGTCCATCAGACTAACAGCAGATCTCTCAGCAGAAATCCTACAAGCCAGAATGAGACGTGGAGAGTGGGGGCCAATATTCAACATTCTTAAAGAAAAGATTTTTCAACGCAGAATTTCATATCCAGCCAAACTAAGCTTCATAAGCGAAGGAGAAATAAAATCCTTTACAGACAAGCAAATGCTGAAAGATTTCATCACCACCAGGCCTGCGCTACAAGAGCTCCAGCAGGAAGCACTAAACATGGAAAGGAACAACCAGTGCCAGCCACTGCAAAAACATACCAAATCGTAAAGACCATCAATGCTAGGAAGAAACTGCATCAACTAATGGGCAAAAATAACCAGCTAGCAGCATAATGACAGGATCAAATTCACACATAACAATATTAGCCTTAAATGTAAATGGGTTAAATGCCCCAATTAAAAGACACAGACTGGCAAATTGGATAAAGAGTCAAGATCCATTGGTGTGCTGTATTCAGGAGACGCATCTCAAGTGCAAAGACACACATAGGCTAAAAATAAAGGAATGGAGGACTATTTACCAAGCAAATGGAAAGCAGAAAAAAAAAAAAAGCAGAAGTGCAATCCTAGTCTCTGATAAAACAGACTTTAAACCATCAAAGATCAAAAGAGACAAAGAAGGGCATTACATAATGGTAAAGGGATCAATGCAACAAGAAGAGCTAACTATCCTAAATATAGGGACCCAATGCAGGAGCACCCAGATTCATAAAGCAAGCTCATAGAGACTACAAAGAGACTTAGACCACCACACAATGATAGTGGGAGATTTTAACACCCCACTGTCAATATTGGACTGATCAACAAGACAGAAAATTAACAAGGATATCTAGGACTTGAACTCAGATCTGGACCAAGTGGACCTAATAGACATCTACAGAAATCTCCACCCCAAATCCACAGAATATACATTCTTCTCAGCACCACATCACACTTACTCTAAAACTGACCACATAATTGGAAGTAAAACACTCCTCAGCAAATGCAAAAAAAACAAACAGTCTCTCAGACCACAGTGCAATCAAATTAGAACTCAGGATTAAGAAACTCACTCAAAACTTCACAACTACATGGAAACTGAACAACTTGCTCCCAAATGACTACTGGATAAATAACAAAATGCAGGCAGAAATAAAGGTGTTCTTTGAAACCAATGGGAATGAAGACACAATGTACCAGAATCTCTGAGACATATTTAAAGCAGTGTATAGAGGGAAATTCATAGCACTAAGTGCCCAACAGAGAAAACAGGAAAGATCTAAAATCAACACCCTAATGTCACAATTAAAAGAACTAGAGAAGCAAGAACAAACAAATTCAAAAGCCAGCAAAAGACAAGAAACAACTAAGATCAGAGCAGAACTGAAGGAGATAGAGACAGACACAAAAAACCCTTCAAAAAAATCAATGAATCCAGGAGGTGGTTTTTGAAAAGGGGTACAAAGAAGAGTTGGTACCATTCTTTCTGAAACTATTCCAAACAGAAAAAGAGGGAATCCTGCCTAACTCATTTTATGAGGCCAACATCATCCTGACACCAAAACCTGGCAGAGACACAACTAAAAAAGAACATACCAATTGTTATCTAGGTGGCTATCACTGAATAGCAAAATTATTATCATTAGACTTCTATGTCAATTCTCTACAATAAACTTTCAATTGTATCACCAGAAGAAAATAACCAGGGCAATTGAAAGTGTATTTGTTTTTTGTCATTGTTTTGTTTGTTTGTTTGTTTTGAGATAGAGTCTCGCTCTGTCACCAGACTGGAGTGCAATGGCAAGATCTCAACTCACTGCAACCTCTGACTCCCAGGTTCAAGCAATTCTCCTGCCTAAGAATAGCAGGCAGGAGACTGGGACTACAGGCACGCACCAGCATGCCTGGCTAATTTTTGTATTTTTAGTAGAGGCAGGGTTTCACCATGTTGGCCAGGATGGTCTCCATCTCTTGACCTCATGATCCGCCTGCCTTGGCCTCCCAAAGTGCTGGGATTACAGGCATGAGCCCCCACGCCTGGCCCCTGAAAGCATATTTTTAAGAAAAGCTTTTGTGTATCAACAGATATTTCAAACTAGAGCTAGTAAAGCTATTGACAATGCCACTAAGGTTTCTCAGTAAATGTGTAAAAGTCCAATCAGTTCTTTTAAGTGTACACATAACTTTCCCAATTAAATTTTGGGGTTTTCTTGGTTTTGTTTTTTGTTTCGTTTTGTTTGAGACAGTCTTGCTCTGTCACAGGCTGGAGTGCAGTGGCATGATCCCAGCTGACTGCAACCTCTGCCTCTTGGGTTCAAGCAATTCTCCTGCCTCAGCCTCCTGAGTAGCTGGGGTTACAGGCACGTGCCACCATGCTCGGCTAATTTTTGTATTTTTAGTAGAGATGAGGTTTCACCGTGTTGACCAGGATGGTCTCAATCTCCTGACCTCATGATTCACCCACTTCAGCCTCCCAAATACTGGGATTACATGCGTGAGCCACTGTGCCTGGCCCCCCGTTTTAAAAGAGTTTTTTTTTTTTTTTTTTGAGACAGTCTTGCTCTGTAGCCAGGCTGGAGTGCAGTGGCGCCATCTCAGCTCACTGCAACTTCCGCCTCCCACATTCAAGTGATTCTCCTGCCTCAGCCTCCCAAGTAGCTGGGACTACAGGCACCCACTACCGAGAAGGGATTTCACCATGTTGGTCAGGATAGTCTAGATCTCCTGATCTCATGATCCACCCACCTCGGCCTCCCAAAGTGTTGGGATGCTGGGATTATAGGTGTGAGCCGCCACGCCCGGCCAAAAGACATTTTAACTTTTAGAAATTGTTTTAAAATGGCCAGGCGTGGTGGCTCTCACCTGTAATCCCCGCACTTTAGAAGGCCAAGGCAGGCAGATCACTAGAGGTCAGGAGTTCAAGACCAACCTGGCCAACACAGTGAAACCCTGTCTCTATCAAAAAGTACAAAAATTAGCAGGGCATGGTGGCACACACCTGTAGTCCCAGCTACTCTGGAGGCTGAGGCTGGAGAATCCCTTGAACCTGGGAGGCAGAGGTTGCAGTGAGCCAAGATCATGCCACTGCACTCCAGCCTGAGAGACAGAGAGAGACTCCGTCTCAAAAAACAAAACAAAACAAAAAACCAAGAAACTGTTTAAAGATTATGCTCCCAAGGCACCAGGCCATCAACTCATCACATGAGGCACAGCTCACAATGAGGGACTGTGGGTAACCCCCCTAGAGGCACCAAGGAAGGAGAGCTAAGCAGAATCCTGGCACAATTAGTGCCTGAAGAATATCTCAGTTTATAGTGTTACTACTCAGTTATTTCCCTTCATATATAATTCTCTATATATAATCATATATTAGTTCATAGAATGAGTGCTTAAAGAATATGTTACCACTCAGTTATCTCCCTATATATATGTAACTATATCTTAGTTCATAATGGGAGGAATGCCTAGAGTAGACATGGTACAGAGCATGAATTAAGGAACAAGTAGCTTATAGTCGGAGGAATGTCTGGAGCAGACACGGTGCAGAGCATGATTTAAGGGAAAAACAGTTATACCAGGACAAGAATCCATGGCCCGGGGGCAGCGTTCAGTGTCGTAAAGATACCCGCTGCATGGCAGGCTTGGGGCAAGAGCCACTCCTCCTGATGAATAAGTTGTAGGATCTTGCTCCAGTTCTTGTGGAAGGCTGCCCTCAGACTGGCAATCCCTCGAGCATCAAAACCCCTCCAGATAATGGCACCTTGGCGACTGTGAATTTTATCAGCTCTTGTTACTGTGCTAGGTCAAAAGCACCCTCCTATAGAACTCCTCGGAAGCTGCCAGCAGGTGGCGGTAGACCCTAACAGCTCTGTCACTGCTGTGTGATTAAGCATCCTCCGAGTAGCATGCCCATAGATAGAGGTATTGCACACTGCACCCTCTTCACTGCGCACAGCCCACCTCCATGCCTCAGTGACCTAATGGGGGTGGACCCCTTACTGCACACGACCCTGTGGGGCCCTTGGCCCTACAAGCGAGCACTCACGCGGGGACCACTTTGAGGAACACACAGCAAAACAGGGCAATTACAACAGCCAGACCGCTCCGTTTGTTTTAAGAACAATCACTTTCTAAATCTTCCTGCGGGACTCTCAAAGGCAGCCCTTCCACTGCCGCCAAAACCGTATCCCATCGCCCAGCACTTGCTGCAGGCGGGACAAGCAAGGCTCAAAAGGGCACCCAGCCCACGCCCCGCTTTAGAAAACGCCCCGCTGCAAAGCTGCTCGGAAAATCGCTTTTAGTCAACCTGAAGCCAGTCTGCCGCACTCGGGGAGCCGGGAGAGGAGGGAGGGACGCGGTCCGCCACCAACCAAATCAGAGACTTTCCTGTCAAAGACCACGCGGCAAGGGGGCCCGGCCCTCGCGCGCCTCGACGGCTCCCCGGCTCCACGGGGACCCCGATTTCGCAGGCTCTCCCAACTCCCGCCTCTGCCCCCAACACCCTACATCTTTCTCTTCCTCCTCATCGACGTATTTACAATAAAACAGCAACGCTGCACTGTTTCTAATGAAACGCGGTTACCATCAAAACCCCAACTCTATGTCTCAACCGCGAAAAGTCTGACAGGAAATCAACTCGGGAGTTTATCAATTCTTTGAACTCAAAGCTCTCACCCAATGTTGTGGCTTACGCCAGTAATCCCAGCACTTTGGAAGACTGAGGCAGGAGGATCGCCTGAGCCCAGGAGTTCAGACCACTGTGGGCAACAAGACGAAATCCCGTCTCAACAAAAAATACCACAATTAGCGGTGCGTGGCGGCGCGCGCCTGTAGTCTCAGCTCCTCAGGGGGCTGAGGAGAGAGAACCGCTTGAACCCAGGAGGCGGAGGCTGCGGTGAGCCAAGATGGCGCCACTGCCCTCCAGCCTGGGCAACAGAGCGAGACTCTGTCTGAAAAACAAAGCAAAAACAACAACAACAGAAAGTCATTCCTCGCCCCCCAATACCGCCCCTCATCAAAAAGAGAACAGCTGGAAAAGGATCAGCTAGTCCCAGAAGGTCAGCACCAAGTATTTAATGAGGTGCGAAATCATAAAATGTCACCCGCTCAGGCGCCCGCGGAGAGGCAGCGGGCACCACCCAAAGCACCCCCTCAGAGCACCCGGCATTTGAGGCTGCACCCGGGCTGCTACGCCAAAACACTGAACAGGGCTGTGCCCCTCGGCTGCCCACCAGCGAAAAATCAACAAATTCAAGAAAAAGTGCGGCTGCACAGACCCGCTGTAGCGCCAGGCCCCGCCGCGCCGCCTGCCAGGGTTTGAGGCACACTCCTGGAGGTGGCCCGCCTCACCGATCAACGACCGCCTAGATGGTTTCCCAACCAATCGAGGCTCGGGAAAGAACCGTGGGCCCTAGGGCAACCAGGCCCAGTATCTTGACTCACTCTGGGCACAAGCCCAAGTCACCCCAACCCCGAGCCACCGAGCGCCACAGGGACGCCATGAGCCTCAAGATAACCTCAGCCGCAAGGACATCTTGAGCCTGGAGACCCCGTGAACTAAGCGCCATCTTAGTCCACCACGCCAAATTTCCCACGGGCGCCCTGACCAATCGGCAGCAGATGGCCGATACCCAAAGGCCGCCCCTCACATGCTCCTGCCAATGAACATCCAATCCTGCCGCCCCCTGAATGGTCACCTAACTGGGCGCGGCCCAGACTCTGACAGAACTTGAGGCCCAGGTTAGCGGGGTAGTTGAGGGGAGGTCACCTTACCTTGTTCCTCAATCTGGTCGGACATCCTGAGGTGGCGGGGTCTGGCTCTGAGGCCGGAGACCTGAGGCCTATGTCTGTGCCGCGGCTGTGTGGTAATTGTGTGGTAACTGTTTCCCCTCTCGCGAGGCACACTGAGGCGCGAGCGGAAGGAGCCCGGAGTACGTCTCTGCGGCTGCGCAGTAGCGCTGGGCGTGCGTGCGTGACTCAGGGGGGTCAAAGGGCCTCGCCCCCCTCCCGCCTCGCTTTCGACCTACTTTCTTAAAGTGTTGTTTTTACGAAAGTATACATATATATGTCTATATAGTTGTACATTATATATGTGTGTGTGAATATATGCAGATATAGATACAAATCTAGAGATATAGAGATATGAACTAGTAGCCAACAGTGTCATTCTGCTCGTCCCAAAATGTGTATCAAAAAAAAAAAGTCCAACATCAGAGAACTGCGTTCAGACTTTCTAGTGTTTTCCAGGTTGCTTTCTCACATCCGATGCCGGCTCTGGGAACAAAACCAAAAACAAGCCAACTTTGCAAATGTGCCCCTAATAAATAGCTAGCAACCCCTGCCCCCTCCTTCCTGCCCCCTCTAGTAGTCTGCAGTCTCTAGTTTCATCTTTGTGTCCCTATGTACCCGATATTTAAGCTCCTACTTACAAGTGAAAAGATTCGGTATGTGGTTTTCTGTTTCTGTGTTAATTCACTTAGGAGAAAGTCTTCCAGCTGTATACATGCTGCTGCAAAGACATGGTTTTGTTCTTTGTTATGGCTGCATAGTATTCCATGGTGCATCTGTACCACATTTTCTTTATTCAGTCCACCATTGATGGCCATGGCGGGGTGGCAGGGAGTCCATCTCACCAGGCACAGTGCTCACCACCTGTGGCCTGGAGCCCTGGACACAGCTCCAGTGGCCTGGCTGAGATGTGCAACGCCACGCTTCCAGGAGGCCCTGAGAGCCTGCCGTTTTGCTGACCCCAGGGTCTGCAGTGGGTTTTTGGCCCTAAGTGCAGTTTTGACAAAGGAGTGTGTATTAGGGTTCTCCATAGGAACAGAACTAATGGGATAGTTGTATATATAAAGGTGAGTTTATTAAGTAGGATTGACTCACAGGATCACAAGATAAATTCCCACAATAGACCATCTGCAAGCTGAGGAGCAAGGAAGCCAGTCTGAGTCCCAAACCTCGAAAGTAGGGAAGCCAGCAGTGCAGCCTTCAGTCTGTGATTAAAGGTCTAAGAGTCCAAAAGCTGAAGAACTTGGAGTCCGATGTTTGAGGACAGGAAGCATCCAGCATGAGAAAAAGATGTAGGCCGGAAGACTAAGCCAGGCTAGTCCTTCCAGGCTCTTCCACCTGCCTTTGCTCTTCCTCCTGCTTTTGCTGGCAGCTGATCAGATGGTGTCCACCCAGATTAAGGGTGGGTCTGCCTCTCCAAATCCACTGACTCAAATGTTCATCTCCTTTGGCAACACCCTCACAGACACACACAGGGACAATACTTTGCATCCGTCAATCCAATCAGGTTGACACTCAGTATTAACCAACACAGGGCATCTTCTTTGTAAGGACAGAGAAAGGCCCGGAGGAGCTGGAGAACAGCACTGAGCTCCCACCATCAGTTGTGAAAACTGGATCTCATGTGTTCATGGGCAGACACACATCTGTGTGTGTGTGTGTGTGTGTGTGTGTGTGCATGTGTCAGAGAGAAAATGAGAGAGGAGGGAGGTAAGGAGGAAGGGAGGGAGGAAGATGGATGGGGCTGAGATGGTGCTGAAAAGGGGAGAGAGACTGAGCATGGGACAGAGTGACAGGCTAGCACCTCCCCATTTCTGTGTTACCTACAAAACCGCGGCCTTAGTAGGGTAAAATTTACCTGAGAACTTCAGCCTGTCTGCCAGGCTGAGTCTAGCACTCAGCCTCCTGGGGGGAGGTCCGGGGAGCAGGGTCTCAGGTGTGCCCCAGCGGTGGTAGAAGATGGCAGCATCTCCATCTGGAGGAGACCTACCAGTTAGGCAAGACCCAGGCTGTCACCTCCTCTGACACTTCAGCCCATGCTGATCACCACCAGGTGCACTACTCCAGGACCCGCCTCTCACTCACCTCGCTCCTGGTGGGGAAGCAAATCCCACGTGGCTTCCTTCCGTGCCTAATTCTGGGTGGGGGACCAGCCTACACCATTCCACCCTTTCAGGACCCCAGGAGGCTGGACCCCAGTGCACTCTGCCCTCCCGCTTGCCCAGTTCAACACAGTCTGCAGCCTCAAATCCAGATCGAAGAGTCCCAAGCTACAGTGACCTATCTGGGTTCTGCATCTTAATGTTTCCATGCCAAGAAAGCAAACAGGAAAGGCATCCTTCAAACACTCTAGTCAAAGCTTCCCCTCAGACCACTGCAGAAAGCTCAGGTTCTCAGACCTCAGGCAAGCTTGAAAGTACTTTCCTCCACCATTTTTTAAAAATATATATTTTATTGCACTTTAGGTTCTGGGGTACATGTGCAGAACGTGCAGGATTGTTGCATAGGTACCTACATGACAATGTGGTTTGGTGCCTACATCCCCCCATCACCTATATCTGGCATTTCTTCCCATGTTATCCCTCCCCAACTGCCCTACCCGCTGCTGTCCCTCACCTATTCCCTGACAACAGACACCAGTGTATGATGCTCCCTTCCCTGTGTCCATGTGTTCTTATTGTTCAACACCCACCTATGAGTGAGAACATGTGGTGTTTCATTTTCTGTTCTTGTGTCAGTTTGCTGAGAATGATGGTTTCCAGGTTCATCCATGTCCCTACAAAGGACATGAAATCGTTTTTTATGGCTGCATAGAATTCCATGGTGTATATGTGCCACATTTTCCTTGTTCAGTCTGTCATCGATGGGCATCTGGGTTGGTTCCAGGTATTTGCTATTTTAAACAGTGCCACGGTGAATATATGTATGCATGTGTGTTTATAATAGAACGATTTATAATCCTTTGGATATACACCCAGTAATGGGATTGCTGAGTCAAATGGAATTTCTATTTCTAGGTCCTTGAGGAATCGCCACACTGTCTTCCACAATGGTTGAACTAATTTACACTCCCACCAACAGTGTAAAAGTGTTCCTATTTCTCCAC